ATCTCCAGCTTTTGAGTTTGTGGGTTTGGTGGTTTCATCTCCAGCTTCTGAGTTTGTGGGTTTGATGGTTTCATCTCCAACTTTTGAGTTTGTGGGTTTGATGGTTTCATCTCCAGGTTTTGGGTTTTTGGGTTTGGTGGTTTCATCTCCAGGGTTTTGGGGTTTTGGGGTTGGTGGTTTCATCTCCAGCTTTTGGGTTTGTGGGTTTTGTCATTTCATCTCCAGGTTTTGTGGGTTTGATGGTTTCATCTCCAGGGTTTTGAGTGGCACCAGGAGTGATGTGGCACCAGGAGGCTGTGCCAGGAGAGCCTTGGCACTGCTGGCCGTGCTGGGGGGTTGGCACAGCCCGTGTGTGTGTGAGAGCTGAGCATGAGGGGGCACGGGGGGGCTTGCAGAGCCCGGGTGGGTTTTAATACCCGCAAGAACCTTCCCCCGTGCCAGTGGGTGGGATGTGAGTTGGGCACGGGGTGGGGGGAGAAACGGGCGCTGTGGGATTTTTTTTTCCCCCTCCCCAAACCCCCACGAGCTGATGTTGAGTAACTATCCCTGAGGATTGAGTGCTGGATTTCTGGCATCCCTGTGGGAGCTGCTTTTCTGGGGATGCTCCCACAGAGTTTGGCTTTGCTCCCTGCTTTGATGGGAATGACTGAGCGTGACCAACTCCGTCCTCTTGGTTGTTTCCCTCCGGCTCCTCCGGGGTGGGAGAGGAGGGTCCTGAGTCTCCCAGGGAGAGGGAGGTGATAAGTTTGTGTGTGGGGTGTTGCCAAGGGGCTGCTTTGAGTCAGGCAGCCGTGCCAGAGCTCACAGTGCCAGCCCTGGGCAGTCAGTGCTTGGACCAGCAGGGAGAGCACAAAACACCCAGATAACAACCTCTCAAACCCTTCCAAATGGGAATGAGCCAGAGGCAAAACCCTGGTGACTTCTTGGGCTTCCAGCCAGGGCACCGTGTCCTGGCCAGAGTCAGGCTCAGGGTAATGATAAGGCTCTTTCTAGCAAGGAATTGTGTCACAGGATTCATTTAGTGTCCCAGCCCAGACTTCTCCATTCCAGAAAGACAAATGGCCTGTATTAATTAACCAGATCCATGAAAATGTCCTGGATCCTTAATGAAATATCAAATGTAAGTCGTTGTCTTTGTGCAGGCAAGTGAATGAAGCCCAGAGAGCTCCACAGGTCACATTTACTGAAACAAGATCTTCACTGATTGTATCAGTCACTTTGGCAGCTCATAAATAGATTTTGATACCAATATTTAATCAGTTTGATGGGTTGCTTCCCAAGTGAGAAATCTCTCTTTGATTCTTCAGATCTGAGAGTATGGAACTAATAATCTCTAGAATTAGTTTGACCAGAATCTCTTGGTCTTCATCCACCTTTAACATGTTAAAATCAACACAGCATAAAATAGTCTGAAAATATATATATGTACCATACACCAGACAAGCGTATGGTACATATATATATTTTATATATATATATATATATATATATATATAGACCTGGTCAGCCCAACCCTGCCCACAGGCACACTCTGAGCTCTCCAGGGCTGCTTTTCCCTGGATGGAACTGGACTCCAACTGCCTGGAGACAAATCCCAGCAGTGTCTGGGAAGGCCTGGCCTGGGCCTGTGGCCATCTGGCACCGTGGCACTGCCAGGACACCACTGGGCCTGCCCTGGGCTGGTTCTTGCCAGGGTTAAACCTCTTTGCCCAGACTCCAAAACAAGCAGGGAGGTGATGCTGCTGCAGAGGAAGAGGTGCTGCCCACCTGGGACACTTGGTGCTGAATGCAGGGATAATTAATCCCAGAGCTGAGCACCGGGATAAAGGTACTGTTGGAAGACTCAGGAATGTTAGAAGGAGCTGAGAGCCCTCATGGAACTGGGCTTGTCTCATCCCCTCATCCAGCTCTCTCCTCCTGAGCTCAGAGCCCTGTGCCAGGTCAGCTGTGTATTCCCAGCTCCACAGCTCCAGAGGGAGAGGAGCAAGGTTCCCCGGGATATACTGGATCAAACCAGGAAAGCAGGCAGGACAGGGAGAAGTGGTGGATGCCCCTGCTTGGATGTGTCCAAGGCCAGGCTGGACAGGGCTTGGAGCAACCTGGGCTAGTGGGAGGTGTCCCTGCCCATGGCAGGGGGTGGCACTGGATGGGCTTTAAGGTCCCTTCCCACCCAAACCAATCTGGGATTGTGCTTCTGGCTGTGGGTGGACACCGAGGAACGATGAGGGCTGGGGAGATGGAATGTTCTGGTGTTTCCCTTTGCTGTGGTCCATCTCACTTGACTTTTTTCCTCTGCCAGACATCAACGAGTGTGCCCTCAACCCGGACATCTGCCCCAATGGCATGTGTGAGAACCTGCGGGGCAGCTACCGCTGCATCTGCAACCTGGGCTACGAGTCCGACCCCACGGGCAAGAACTGCGTGGGTGAGTCCAGGGCACGGGGTGGGCAGAGGGTGGCAGGAGCCAGAACCTCCAGGCGATGCCCCCGAGCCCTGTCCCCGCTCAGTGCTGCCTCATTGTGCTGGTTTAAAGGCAAATCAGCAGGGGAAATGAACTCAGCTCAAAGGAGGGATTATAAGTCAGAATAACAACTTAATAAAATAATCCAATGAATATGATTTTACAGGCAAACAGTTGATTTTAACCCACAAAACCCAAATGTATAACCCAGCACCCTGGGGCATGAACAGAATGGTGCTCGTTGGGCCCCCTGAGTCCAAAGGAAAAGGAGAGGGGAAAAAACCTGCTGGTGAGAGTGCTGGTGCAGTCTGGTCAAGAGTGGTGATCTCAGTCTGGTTGAGAGTGGTGCTCTGCAGTCTTCCTCTGGATCCCACGAGTGGTTAAAAAAGTCCCAAGACTCCAAGATTATCTATCCTCCAGTTGAGGCAGGAATGCCCAGTCCCTCCCTCAGGGCGGGGAGTTCCACCCTGGGGGTGAGGACAGGAGCACCCTCCTATCTCACAGGCCTCTGAACACCCAGTTTACAGCCTGAGGGGTCAGGAGTGCTCTGGGCAGAGGGTGTCAATGGTCTGTTGATAACAGTTCCTGGGCAATGGCATGGAAGGCTCTAGAATACCCAGTTTTGGGTTACACCCATGCAGTGATGAACTGGTCCCAGCTGTTCTAACTAGGACACTCACCTGCACGGAAAACCACAAAGGTGCCCCATGAGAACCTGCACAGATGGGATTGAACATCCCGGGTTGTCTCGCCCTGAGGGTGGAGCTGAACCTCTGCTCCTCCCGGGCTCTGCGGGGCCGTTGCTGTGGCTCAGGAACCCCTTTCTCTCCCTGTCCCCAGATGTTGATGAGTGCACTGTCAACCGCCTGCTGTGCGACAACGGGCTGTGCAGGAACACCCCCGGCAGCTACACCTGCACCTGCCCCAAGGGCTTCGTCTTCAGGACAGAGACGGACACCTGTGAAGGTAACAGGGCTCTGGAGGCACCACGAACAGCTCCACGGGGTGGAAAAACCCATGGCCTGAGGGGCTGCCTGAAGGGCAGCTCAAGGTCTGCCCTGCCTTTGGTTCCCTTTCAACCACAGCACTTGGAACTGGAGCATCTCCAGGGTTTGGGTTGGTGGGTTTGGTGGTTTCGTCTCCAGGGTTTGTGGGTTTGATGGTTTCACCTCCAGCTTTTGAGTTTCTGGTTTTGATGGTTTCATCTCCAGGGTTTTGGGTTTGTGGGTTTGATGGTTTCGTCTCCAGGGTTTGTGGGTTTGATGGTTTCGTCTCCAGGGTTTGTGGGTTTGATGGTTTCATCTCCAGGTTTGTGGGTTTGATGGTTTCATCTCCAGGGTTTTGGGTTTTTGGGTTTGATGGTTTCATCTCCAGGGTTTTGAGTTTTGGGGTTTGGTCATTTCATCTCTAGGTTTTGGGTTTGGTCAGTTCATCTCCAACTTTTGAGTTTGTGGGTTTGGTCATTTCATCTCCAACTTTTGATTTTGTGGGTTTGGTCGTTTCATCTCCAGCTTTTGGGTTTGTGGGTTTGGTGTTTTTTCCCTAAGGGTGAAGTTTCACACTTCCATCAAAGGAGTGGACACCCAAACCTAGAACATCTGGGCTTTTCAGTGCCTGCAAACCAGAACCATTTCCTCCAGGCCCCCAAAATTTTAACTGAAGCCTGACCAAAATTGCAAGTTTTAGAGCATTTGATTAAAAGGTTGTGCTTTGGAGTGGGAGAAATTGTTTCCTGTCTGCAAAGTCCTCAGATATTTGAGAACTGGCACTTGCCACAGAAAAGTTTAGTGAAAAGAAGCAGATTTTTTAAATGTATTATTGTATTTCATATTTTAGCTATTTATATATTACACATTTTATACATTTTATATCCTTACACATCCTTCACAGAGTATTATATCTTTCACATGTTATTTTTAATATCTTTTATTTCATTACCACATTTAAAAAATAACTTAAAAACTAAATTAAAACCGCCACTCTCCACGTTCTTTACTCCAACCTCCCCCAGTTCTGGGCCCAGAAATTTGTCCCCCCTGGTGACAGTCCCTTTGTCCCTCCTGGTGACTGTCCCTTTGTCCCCCCCAGACATCAATGAGTGCACGTCCAACCCGTGTGTGAACGGCGTGTGCCGGAACAACGCCGGCTCCTTCGCCTGCGAGTGCTCCCCTGGCAGCAAACTGGACCCCACTGGCACCATCTGTGTGGGTAAGGGGGGGCCTTCTCCTGGACTGGGCATCCCAGTGCCCACCAGCACCCCTGGCTGGGCATCCCTGGTGCCTTCCCGGCTCAGGGATGGGCATTCCAAGGGCACGGGTGGTGGGATGAGGGGGAACAGCCTTAAGCTGGAGGAGGGAAGGTTTAGGTTGGGTGTTGGGGGGGAAATTCCTCCCTGGGAGGGTGGGGAGGCCCTGGAATGGATTTCCCAGAGAAGCTGTGGCTGCCCCTGAATCCCTGGAAGTGTCCAAGGTCAGGTTAGAGAAGAGAAGCTTCAGGGAGACCTGAGAACTCCTTCCAGGGCCTGAAGGGGCTCCAGGAGACCTGGAGAGGGACTTGGGACAAGGGATGGAGGGACAGGACACAGGGAATGGCTTCCCACTGCCAGAGGGCAGGGTGAGATGGGATATTGGGAAGGAATTCTTCCCTGGGAGGGAGGCCCTGGCACAGGTTTTCCCAGAGAAGCTGTGGCTGCCCCATCCCTGGGAGTGTCCAAGGGCAGATTGGAGCAACATAGGACAGTGGGAGGTGTCCCTGCCCATGGCAGGGGGTGGAATGAGATGGGCTTTAAGGTCCCTTCCCACCCAAAGCAGTCTGGGATTCCGTGATCCTTTGACACCTCTCCTTCCCACTCAGTGTTCCCTTGGATTTTGGTGCCAGTTAATGTCTCTCCTGCCCCCAGGGAACCCGGAAAGCTGCAGCCTCAGGCAGACACACAAATCCCTGGCTGTGCTGCACCCACACACGGGGTCCCAGGGGAACCCAGGGTCCCCAGGGGGATCCTTCAGGGCATCAGGATGGTGGGTTCTCCCTCAGCAGATGGGTTGGGGGTGTGGTGACACTAAGGCACGTCAAGGAAAAGTAGATCCTTTCTCATCAAGACAACGGGAAGGTTCCCACTTCCCACTCCTCGATGATCAGGGCCTTGCAAAGCATCACAGGACTATTTCCACCCAGAAGAGGAGGAGGTGGAGAATGGGAAAAGAGCAGGACAGGGCTCTGGGGACCAACAGGGTTTGTGTCCCTGCTGGAACCCACTTGGCCCCGCAGATTGAAGGACAGAGTGACCCCAAGGACCAACAGCCCCCTTGCAGCCAGGGATGGTTCCTGGGCTGCTCCTCGGGGTTCCATGAACCTGGGAATGGAGCAGCTCCTCACTCTCTCCTTGTCTTCATCCCTGCAGACAGCATGAAAGGGACCTGCTGGCTCAACATCCAGGACGGGCGCTGCGAGGTGAACATCAACGGGGCCACGCTCAAGTCGGAGTGTTGTGCCACCCTGGGGGCAGCCTGGGGCAGCCCCTGCGAGCGCTGCGAGATCGGTGAGGCCCTGCCTGGCACGGGAATCCCCCAGGGAATGCCTGGAGCTGTGCCAGGGGGGTTTGGGATGGATCTCAGGGAAAGGTTCTTCCTCCCCAGAGGGTGGTGGGCACTGACCAGGCTCCCCAGGGCAAGTGGGCACGGCACCAAGGCTGCCAGAGCTCCAGGAGCTCCAGGAAAACCCTGGGGAACATGTCCAGAACTCTTGGACAACGCTCTGAGGGACAGGGGGGGATTTTTGGGGTGTCCTGATGATCCCTGGGGGTCCCTTCCTGCTCAGGATATTCCAGGATTCTGTGATTCTCTGAATAAATCCAGTCTCCAGCTCTGCCTTATCCATTCCCCTCCCACTTGGTTTCATAAATCCAGGAATTGTGCTTCAACCTGTGGGATCCCTGATAAATTCCAGCTGTTCTGAAATCCTTCTCTGTTCCATGTCGCCCATTTTTCCATGGAAATCCATGGAGCTGTGCCAGGGGAGGTTTGGGATGGATCTCAGGGAAAGGTTTTTCCTCCCCAGAGGATGGTGGGCACTGACCAGGCTCCCCATGGAATGGTTATTCCCCAAGGCTGCCAGAGCTCCAGGAGGGTTTGGATGATCCTCTGAGGGATTGTTGGGGTGTCCTGATGATCCCTGGGGGTCCCTTCCCACTCAGGATATTCCAGGATTCTACAGAAATCCTGCTGCATTGTTGCTGTGGATGTTTCTGTGTTTGTAGGGGACAAATGAAGCCCCAACTCCTGGAATAAAGAGGGGCAGGGGGTGGAGAAGAACAAAGGAAAACCCTGGGGAACATGTCCAGAACTCTTGGACAACCCTCTGAGGGACAGGGGGGATTGTTGGGGTGTCCTGGGCAGGGCCAGGGGTTGCACTGGATGATCCTTGTGGGACCCTCCCAGCTCAGGATATTCCAGGATTCTCTGGGAGATCAGGAAGGCAGGAGCAGCCTGTTTCTCTGCTGACATTCCCATATTTCCTTGCAGACACCGCCTGTCCCCGGGGATACGCCCGGATGAAGGGGGTCACCTGTGAAGGTACCGTTGCAGCAGGACACGGGAAACCGTTTCCATTGGGATCGTGGTCATTGTTCATTTGCTGCTATCCTGCCTCTCCCAGTCTGGGAGGGGAGGTTCTACACCTTCTGGCCCTTTGTTGGGCTCTCTGTGGATGTGTGGCCAGGACCACTGTGTCTGTCTGTCTGTCTGTCTGTCTCTGCCCAGATCCTGTCTGGACTTGGCTGTGGCCGTGCAGGGACAACGTGCTTTTCACGGAGCGAGTTGTCACTTTTTAGTCTGCTAGGGCAGCTCTGGGCCCCTTCCATCTCCTCCAGGAGCCCCTGGAGGCCGTGCTGGCCCTGTCCCCGTGCCAGTCTCACGCCCTTCTCCCGTTTCTGTGCCCCCAGATGTGAACGAGTGTGAGGTGTTCCCCGGCGTCTGCCCCAACGGGCGCTGCGTCAACTCCGCCGGCTCCTTCCGCTGCGAGTGCCCCGAGGGGCTCACCCTGGATGGCACTGCCAGGACCTGTGTGGGTAAGGGCACCTCCTCTCACCCAAATTCTGGCCCCAAGCCTCCCCCTCCCTGCCACGTGCAGCAGGAATTCTTGGGAATTGAGTGGTGGTGGCATCTTTGGAAAGGGCGCCCAAACCCGGCAGCTGAACCGAGGCAAAGCTGCCACAGCTTCGTGTCCCCGAGTCCAGTGGTTGTTCTTCCTGGGTGGACTTCAGAAGTGGCCAAACCACCTAATTTTGGTTGATGGCACTGCCCAGCAGCCCTGAAGCAACTCCTGGGCACACAGTGAAAAACCTCTGCCCTTCCCAGGGGCCGTCTGTGCTTCCAGCACCATTCACCGGCCCTGTTGCCAGCAAATCCAGACTGGTCATGTCCATGCTGTGAGATCTCTCACAGCATTCCAAAAAAAAGGGAATGGCACTGGAACAGGCTCTCCAGGGCAGTGGTTGAGCATCCAACCCTGACAGGGTTTGGACAATGTTCCAAGGGACGTGATGGGATTGTTGGAGTGTCCTGCGCAGGGCTGAGAGCTGGACTGGATGATCCCTGTGGGTCCCTTCCAGCTCAGGATATTCCAGGATTCTGTGAGAAGGGTCTGTGGGGCACCAGAAGCCCCCATGGGAAGCCCTGATGTGAAGGAGAGGTCGGTGCCTGACCTGCCTGGGGAAACACCAGCCCTTGGAGAAAGAAATGAAGGTCTCAGTGCTGCAGCCAGGGGGGTCCCTTCCTACTCAGCATATTCTGTGAACGGCCCATTCCTGGATGGATGGAGGATGCCCCAGCCGGAGCCATTCCAGGGATGCTGTAAAGCCAGTCCCAGAGGGTGCCAGGATTGGTTTGTGAACCTGGGCACTGTTTGGAGGTTGTCCCAGCAAAAGCCACTCCAGGGACCTTGTGAACTCAGTCCCAGAGGGTGCCAGGAGTGGTTTGTGAACCTGGGCACTGTTTGGAGGATGCCCGAACCAAAGCCACTCCAGGGATGTTGTAAAGCCGGTCCCAGAGGGTGCCAGGGGGGTTTTTACCTTGTGAAGCCAGTCCCAGAGAGGGTGCCAGGGTGGTTTTTACCGTGCCAGTCCCAGAGGGTGCCAGGGTGGTTTTTACCATGTGAAGCCAATC